GAACTGTTTCAAAAGACCCAACTTCATCTGAACTGTATAGGACCTTAATGGGATTGATTTAGTACTCTTTGTCGTACGTATGTCAATAATCGCGGTTGTAGCTACGTACGTATCAGTAATACATGACGAATATAGGAATAAATTTGATTTAAAAGATTATTCATTAAATATTAAATATATGAATTATAATAACATTTCTTTATTACATATAATTATTATATAATATGTACATATTACATACCTTCAATACGTTTTATGATATGTAATAGTTTACATGTTAATTATTAAGTTGAAATATATACTTAACATCAATTGTTATTAATACCTTAACAAATCATTTTGCGTTAAAAGAAATGATAATATTAGTTTTGTATTGAACTGCAAGCCATGAAACCAATTTGTTGAATATGAGGTACAAATAAAACAAATAAAACAGATCCATGATTCAGGGAGACACAAAGAAATTAATTAATGCTAAAGTATTTTTAAGTTTGCGGATCAACGAGCAAAATTTTCCATAGGCACCTCTGATGGATAAACATAATATAGTAAATAAAGATATTCTATGAAAGAATTCAACCTATTTTACATATTTTTCTAAGTTAATCGATTCGCGTTTCGATTTGGAGCACGAAAATCCATAATATTCGCATTGTAACTAGAAATTCCATTGTCAACTGGTCACATTATTTAATTCGTTAGTTATTCGCGCAAGAACGGGGAAGCGTTTTGTTACATGTGTTACATTACGTACCGTAGAATGAAATTTTTATTTCAAGTTTTTCCGGTGCTAGCTGTTTTTACTTTGCATGAGAATTTTCAAAACAAGAAAATTACCCAAAAAAGATTACCGATCCTTGTTTATTGAAATTCAATAAAAGGGAGTTCAGTTCGATCGCATGATAGGACTTTCTCAAATGGCTATGAAACGTTGATCAATGTGCACATTAACTCCCACAGTTCATTGAAGTATTATTTATTATTTGGATGCTTTAGAATTCCACCAAGGAAATTTTAGCACAAATCGTGAGACAACATAATCACGAAGAAACGTTCTATTATGGATAAACTTGTTTTCACAATTTAAACAAGTATTTTGTTTTTGTATACGAACGAATTATATCTACAAGCTTGATGTTGCGAGTTTGTTTAGTGACATCCACATTTTTAAAATAACGCAGGCGTTTTTAAGAATTTTTTTTTTTAGCCTCGCTGTTCATGCGATTGAGTTACATTTAAGGTATGTCGCCATAATCATTAAAATGATTGTGATTGTTTCTCAAAATAATTTGAATGTACATATATGCTTTCGATTAAATCAAAGATGCAGTCTTTTTTTTAAAAATAGAAATTAACAAGATGATTGGGCTTTACGTGCTTGAATAGATCATAAAATTGGACCTTGTATTGAATTTATTAAGTTTCATTCTGACAGGTTTTAACCTGAAATGGTGGAACTGATTGGGCTTAATCGTGCGTCAATGAATTATAAAATTAAACTTCTTCGTTGACATCCTTGGCAAGTTAGCGATCTATTTGGCTTGTGAATGAAACGTTCATTAAGTTCTTGCATTGAATTCAATTATTTATGCTATTGCGTATTCAAAATATTTACTTCACTTTATGTCAAATTAATGCACATGACAACTAACCAATAATACGTAACATATCCAAAACGGTCTGGAATGGGATGGTATCGGTATATCTGATCGATCTTTGTTATAGTGTTTCACCTGTGAACTAGTCAGTTACTATATTTGTTTGCACTATAAATAAAGAAACATATAAGATATCGATATTGACAACCTGTCATTTTTTCATTATTAAATAGTAAAATGTAATATGAAAAACGCATTCTGATTAATGTACAAAACTAATAAAGATTAAATGAGTTTAGATATATGATCGGGCAATGAATAATCGTATTTAGTTTATTGTGTATATTACCGTTACTGTATAATAATTATTGTCGGATTGGTTATTCTAGTTCTAAAAATTATATAGTGAATTTTTTCTTGATCAAATTAATTAATTAAACATGTGCACAGCATGACCGGCATTAATTTATGCACCTTGGCCAACATTAGAAAAATCCAATTTGTCAGAGATTTGTAAATTATGTTATCATCAGCATACATACGCTAGTTTCGATAGTGAATGCTACATGTGTGGATTAATTATATATATAATTACTTAAATGAACTTCAATCATCAATGAGCGTTTAGGCTAAACTTAATGTATTTGTATTCGTGGGTTTCCATTAACTGTGTCAGCGAATATGGATTTATATTCAAGTTTACCAGTTAGAGATGCGTTCGCACCTGCTTATGACATCTTCATTCTCACTCATGAAACCGGTGCACATCACCACCTACGTTAACAATTTCCTCAATTGACCTCTGATTATTAAAACATGCATAGATAGAAAATTCATAATAGACATACTGTATTTGTATCAATACTGTTTATTACAAACATTAAATCGTTAAAAATCTTCACAGCTTCGATAACGTAATCCTTCAACAATGTCAATGTAATTCCGTTAAAAGTCTGTCATTTCATTGATTCTAATACCTTTTAGACAGATATCTTCCATTTTTACATCTTTATTATTGTTTCTATTGTCCTGTTATTATATTTTTTTTTATTGTTGTGTTCTTAATATCATGTATTTTTATTCTTTTAAATTTTTTTTTTTTTACTATTATTTTGTCTTTAGTGACACAAAATTTTATAAAAAGCAAGACTAGTAACAGTATATTTAGAATAATTAAAAATACTAATTGATCTTAAAACACTGATATAATTTGAAGTATCTTGTTAAATTTAAAACTATGAATCGTATATACATAAAGATATATTATACATATAGTATTAAAAACAAAATTAGTATTATAAAATTTGCAAATTTTTTACTACGTATGTGTAGTCAAATTTCTCTAAATACAATTTTTATAAGTGAACCACTTTTTTGAATACATTTTTATATTCTTGCTTACACAAAATGATTTAAAGATAAACTCCTATTTATATTTTGTAAATACAAGGTTCTTTAAAATATAGATATATTCATCTTTCTAAATACAATTACCAATCAAATTTAGTATTTAAAACATGTAATTTAGTTTTAATTATAGTGATTACAATCTAATTTATAAATGTTTGAAAAATTATATTCATAACACTAATGTTATATAACACCCTGAGTTAGAATTGAAGTTTTAGGTTAGGGTAAATATATAGTTTTTATAACATGGCGTTATAAATATAATTTTCCATAATTTTTTAAATATTCAGTATTAAAATTTGATTATACAAACTATACTTAACTGTATTAAAATTTTAAATATTAATTATATACGTACTATATATACGTATTGTTGCAGAATAATATACATAAATATTATTTTGAATGATCATTTAATTTAAGCTTAATTTAAATCAAAATTCGAATTTATATTTTTGTAGATTATATATTTTACAAAAAATACAGTATAATATATATTTATTAGTATATACTGTTTGCCACTGCATACAGTATTCAGAGTCTTATTCAAGAATATTGTTTTTTTAAAATTGAATAATACTCGTGGGTACTGTGCGAAAAACCAAGTTACATACGTATTATAAACTAATATAATTATATCCGGGTATTATTCAAGAATTAAGTCAGGTGGGTGATGAATAATACCCGGGCTTTAATCAAAAAGGAATTATTTTGGGAAGATACTACATACTGTGCAAACGGTACAGTATTATTTACGTACCATATTGTTATTATTTAAATTAATATTAGCTAATATGTGCTAAATTTTTAAAAAATTTTAATCTATATATTATTTCATTAACTAATTTAATTGATTTATACTTTATCTACTAATTTATTGTAATAAACATTTTAATCTATAAAATTAAATAAACAATTTTTTATCAAATTTAACCAAAAAAATAAAGATTTTTAATTGTTTGTACACTAGTGTATGAAACACGGATACCCAAAATTTTTGCTTATAAAACCACTTTATGGGCTCTAACAAAAAAAAATATCCGTAAAATTTCTAATCCTAACCTAACTCTTATCATCTTTAATCTAGTTTATTTTTTCCTTAGATTTTACTTTATATTAATCTACCAAATATACCCGTTTTCATGTACTGGTGTAAATTAATAAATTTTCTTTTTAATTTATGTAAAAATAAATTTCATTATTTGTAATTTCTAAAAAAAACATTTCAGATTTAAAATTTTTTTTAATCAAGTTGTTTAAGATCAAAAAGTATCAAAAATTTTTATTAATTAAAAATTTTTATTAATTGAAAATTTTTTGTTAAAACAACCTGTCATAAATATTCTTAAAAGCTACAAGTAATAAGATATAAATTTAAACATTCTAATGATAAAAATTTCAATAATTACTATATTTTATTACGTATAAAAAGTTATACATGTCAAATTAACAGGATCGCCAACAAAATTACTGTGATTTACACTCACGTGATGATTGACGAAGATAAGCTAATAATGAATCTCGATTTAGTGTAACGTCACGCGATCAGAAAAATTCGAAACAAGCCTTCGTTTTGAAAAAAATCGCTTATAACTCAAAATCTGCATAAGAAACAACCTTCTACGCCTTAAACAAAAGGTTTTCCATGAACGATTTTACTATTATGACCACCTTAATATAGACTCTAACCCTAACCTAAACGGACTTAAAGAATTTTGTCGATATCACGTGACATAAAATTTTGTTAGTGATGCTGGGGAAGATTAACTTTCAGATGACCAGCAGTAATAATTGGCCTAAGTTATGCCGTAATTTTACTCTAACCCTATCCTAACTCAGGGTGGGCGTCATCTGACGCAAGGTTTCATTGTAAGTTCTTTTTTGGCTCTATTCATTAACTAAATAGTTAAAACCTGGAAACCGATCATAGTAAATCATTAAATCGGTTTCCAGGTTTTCACTCACGCACTCAAATATATAACTTGAATCAAGCTAATAACATCTATATCCTCCACTACTCTGAAAAATAATCGATTAATCAGTTCGACTTTTTCCGTATAATAGGATCAGTTTATAGTTTCTGGCCGAATTACGTTTATCGTAACTGTCCAATCAGATTTCAATGTGCTACGCAGAAACGCAAAAAATCAAATGGTTCATAACTCAACATTTTACCTATGAAACCACCTTCTGCGCATTAACAAAAAGTTTTCCTTGCGAAATGTTGGTATTAGAAAAACTCTTCTTAACCTAAATCAATTTCAAAACCTAACCCTAATCTAGCAACGAAATTTTTTAGGTTGATAATGCTAGGACAGTTGTTGATAGTGGTCGAATTACCGAAATAGCAGGCATTGGCGTTATTTCGAATTTGGCCAGAATTAAGCTTAATTCTTGTCAAAATTCGCAATAACACCCATGCGAGAATTTATGATAAATAGAAAATTTTAAATAACTTTAAACCGTATTTTGTTTTAAAGTACACAAATATGAATCATGTTTTCAACATTTATTTTATAGAATTTTCACGTTATGTATATTCTTAGGTTTATTAATCTCAGACACGATTAATACGATAACGTGTTTTCGTATATAACAATCTTTCATTACATAATATTCATTTTGCACTATATATATAAAAAAGAAATATTCAATTATTAACAATGAAGACTCTAATAAAACAAATGACTTCCTCAACCAAACAATATTCATATTTTTACTCATGAAATTTATTAGTCTCTCATGTTTCCTCTAACTCTTGCTCCTTTAATACATTCTTGACTTTTTGCTTTTTTTCGCACACGAGCAAATGCTTTGCGACGTTTCATACGAAAACGCACAAGTTGTTTTTCGTGCCTATGTTTTCCTCGAAAGTGCATTATTAAATTTCAAGTGCTTCTAGCGAATGGTATGTTGCAATGGCAAGTAAAAGGAGTATAAATATATATTTGATTCTTTTTGTATTATATCATAATTTCGTCATTGTCCATTTGCGTATACGTATGATAATCGCGTTAATATTATATCATATTGCGTGTGAAATTAGAATAGGTAACCAGATTAAAATTTTAGGTTAAAATAGCAAATTGGCGTAGAGCTAAAATTGATGATGCAAAGGCAAACCAAAATTATGAGCTTTTTAAATTTATAACTTACCAGATCCAATTCTTCAGATTTTGTTAAGATTGATTCTGATAAATCAGAAGTTTAAAAATCGATTCCTGGTTTTCTTACGGTGCAATTCATGACACTTTAATTGATAACGAACGCATTGTTAGGTATATTTCATTTACTTTCACTCAATGCCAAATTGTTGCATTGACCTTTTATTGGAATTAAAAATTATTTTTACACTTATACAGTGTTCTCGTAAGTATACTTCAGTGTTGCTTCTTTAACGGATATATATATGATTAGTACTCCTGGTCGAATGGATTTGTTTAAACCAACCCACATGTCTGATTAGTACATGACCTGGCTTAGTTCGATTTCAAGTATATAAAATTAATTAATAACGATAACGATAATAATTACTGTTAAGTAATTTTACGTTAATAGATCCTTCAATTTATAAAATATGTCTAATTCGGTTTTATTCTGGACAATACTAAATATGATCTAGTGATGTAAGCTTAATTAAAATAATTTGGTATTATGAAATCTAAAAGTTTACTAAACAATTTATTTTGCACAACGTATAACGTGTGTAAGTTATTTACCTATGATTGATAAAACAAGTTCCATATGATTTATTAATTTTTTTTTTAAAAAAGCGAGGTCTTGCCTCAGTTTTCTTTATTGAAATTTATATATAAGTATATTACATAATATAATATAGTATATATTCTATCTATGAAAAACTAAAGCTAGAGCTGGTTTACCCTTGACCCAAACTTTGCCAAAAGAGGTCAAAGGCCTCACTTAGTTCTGAATTATTGTTATGAAGTTAGGTAATGCATTGTAATTATTAAAGTTTCTATTCAAGAGTTAATTCTTGTGGGTTTTTGTGATTAATGGGTATACAGATATGAGCATTGGTATTATTTGAAATTGTTCTAATAGGTTGGTTTGGTCTGCTAATATTAGAGGAATTTGAGAATTATTGGTTTGATGTGTTTTGATTTTAGAATATTGTTTAGCATTGGGTGATTCAAATTTGTTTATATATTACTTTATTAATTTTGTACAATATTGTTTTTGCAATTGTATAATTTGTTTTCTTATTTATCTTTTTGTTGATTGTTTTGCTTTGATGTAAGATAATAATGCTTATGGTGATTGTGTTTTCTTGTTTGTTATTAATGTTTAATGATATTAATAATGCAATAAGAATGTTTTGCTTTTGAGATATATTTAGTTAATATTTAGTAAGAATTGTTGTAATTGTGTTTTTGATGATAGATTTAATATTGATAATATTGATGTGGTATTATATCTAGTATTTGTTAGTTTCAAGATAGGTTAAATATTTTTAACAACTAAGGTTTGTATATTTTTTAGAGTTATAATTATGAAGTACAATTTAGATAAATAGTTTATTAAGAAAAAAATTTGATTTTAAATATTTTTAGATTAAAGTTAAAATAGTAAGTATATTTAGTAGTAGTTTTGTTATTAAAATTTATGAAGTTTTTCAATAAATTTCTGCATGTGTTGTATTCTATATTTTTGGAAGTACCATGTAATATTATGATATACATTGTTGATATATTAGATAAATCTTTTAGATATATGCTTAATGCATATATTGTACTAGTTAATAATGAATATGTTTTGTCTTATTGCAATATGTTTTATATTAAGGTGATATATAGTAGTGTTGGGTATAATAATAATATTTAGTAATTCATTATATTGAAACCAGAATTGTTAAGATTTTGGTTCTATAATTGCTTTTAGTATTAACTAGCTGAGTTAGAAAGAGAGTTTGTAAGTCTAGATATTGTGCTAAGATGAAGTGTTTAAAATTAATTCTACTTTATAAATAAATTGTTTTTTATTAATATATATATTTATATTTGTATTTTCATAAATACTAAATACAATATATATTAAAACTGTATATAATACTTTGTTAGCACTTGGTCAATTATAGTTATTGAAGCAAGATTGGAATTTAAATATATTAGTTTTTTAGCATACTGAAATAGTTTTGGTTAGATTTGATTTATATGTAAGTAGTTAAATGTCAATTGTTTAAATTTTTAGTATTTTTTAATTAAAGTTTTAGAAATTTTCTGCTGTATTATAAGATAAAATTCTATTGGTTATATTAATAAAAGTTTGTTAATAAGAGTTAATAAATGATTTGTTAATAACTAAATTGTAAGTATGTAATTTGATTTATTGTTAAATTATATAATTGTTAGTTTCTTAATACTGTATCTGATTTTGTATTTTGAGTTTACTCTAACTTGTTCTAAATGTATTATAAAATGAATAATAATACATTTTGTTTTTTGTAATTGCATTTTATTAAGATTGTATCCTGAGTATAGTTGTAGAGATGATTTATTTGGATTTGTTATTTAGTAATATATTATTGCATGCTAATTTTTTATTAAAAAAATATCTTTTTTATGCTTTTAGTTTTGGTATTATGAATTTAGCTTTTTTTGATAATCTGCTTAACTCTAAGTATATATAGGTTTGATGTAATTAATATATAATTTTTGTTACTAATGATTTTATTAATTTGCTGAGTTATTTGTTCAAACTATTTAGGTTTTTTTTTTTGTATTTTTGTTATAATTTGTGCAATATGTATCTAAATAAGTATATACAAATATATATAGTTTGCACTATTCTATTGCATAAATTTCTAGTTTGTTAAGTTTTAGTAAAATTTTTTTTTTTATTATAAGCAGTCATGTTAGTGCCTTATTAAGATTTTTGAAATTACTATTGCAATTATATAAATATATCTAACAATTAAGTCTAACATTACCTAGCTATTCTAATAGTATCTAAGCACAATCTGATACATTATCTACAACAGAAGTAAGCTGCTTGTTTGACTATCTAAAGTTCATAATAAAAGAGTCATTTCTCTTTTATAACAAGCTTTCAAATTGTTTTCCTAACTTTCTTTTTAATTCATTTTCTTTTTTCTTTTACTTTTTTTTTTTCTTTTATCTTTTACTAACTAGTCTTTCTCTTTTTGCTTAAATTTTTTTCTTCTGTCTCTTTTTTTACTTTATTCATTATTTCTTTTTCTTTTTCTATACATTAACCTTTTCACAACATATTCTTCAGACTTGTTTGTAGAAGGTGTTTTATGTTGTTTCTGCTACTATATTCATAAACTGTTGTCTTGTTCTTGTATTCAAAAGTTATAATAATCTGTTTTGAGTTACTTTTGGAATTAGGCCTATGATTAGTACTTTTCTTATTATTATTTTATTTCTTTTTATTTTTTCAAAAAGTGTCATATATAATACATAAGATGGAACTTGAATTTTTTTTTTTTTAAACCTTTTCATAATATTGTGATAAATACTTTCTGTATTCTTTTTCAAAGGTTTGCTTGTCCCATAAATAATACCAAATGTTCTTGTATTTCTTTGGCTTTGCTTTGATAAACTTAACATTTTGTTATTATATATATATCTGGTCTTCTTCTGTTGAGTTCTTTCAAAATTAAAAGTTTGTCCAATATACATTTCATAAAAACACTTCTTTTTGTGTTACTTCTTTTTGTTATACAATGTATTTCTTTAGATGACTTCAGTCTTTTATAAAAGTATATTCAATTATAGATTATTTCTTCTGTTAATAGTTTTATGTTCTTGATCACTGTTATTTCTTTTCACTCTACTTTCAATCTGGCATTTGTTACTATTTTATATAAAAATCTTGCTGATAAATCTATTTGCTTGTTTTTATACTCAAGACAGTACTCTATCTCTTTATAGCTGACTTTTTCTAATATATTATTTTTTTGCTTAATGTTTTCTTCTTTACAAGGCTATTAGCTTTATCATTTCATTTGTTCTTATTATAACTTCATTTTAAACTACTCTATCTGTATGTTTTTTGTTCTAATTATATTAATTATCTTTAATATTTATAGCACATTTTTCTTCTTAAGAACTTCATTTTGCTATCTGTAAATATTTCATATGCATGGATTTTTGGAATTGGGCCTTTTTTTAAGACCCTATATTTTTTTAAAAAAATAGTAACTAGCTGATTTTTTTTTTTGAATTTCAAAAATTTAAAATCATTGAAATCACAAAACAAAAAAATTTATATATTCAAATATGTCAAACCAATTGTTCATCCTCAAAACCAATTCTTCTTTTTTAGAATTTATATAAGTAAGAATGAACTACTATAATTTTTTAAATATTATAAAACTAATTTATTGAATTTTTTATTTCTAATTAATAGATTTAATAAAATAGTATAATGGCTATTAATAATATTAATATGCATTATCAGTCTTACATTTCTTCTGAACCAATAGTTCTTATACCACATATTACCTTATAGCAAGGTTTTAAGTGTAAAATTTGTGAAACGACTTATAAAACAAAAAGAGGTCTTATGTGTTATCAAAGGATTGTTAAAAAGTATAATATTCATTGTAAGGAGTTATCTATATTGCCTTTATAAGCAATTAACTAATTTAAAACTGATCTTGTTCATATTATAAGAAGTAAACTCAAAGAGCACTATAGATGGTTGGGCAAACAAACTATTACATTTTCATGTCTAGAAAGTTTATTTTTTAATGTTTTTAAGGATTATATTCATTATTTTAATCATAAAAATGGTTCCTACAAGTGTTTTTTTCATGAACCAAACACATACCTACAATTAGCTAGTTTATTTAACAATCAGAATTAGGGACACAAATTTTTTAACAATGATCAAC